TTGTTCATACCTATAGATCCGGCGCCTTCCTTTATTAAAAGTTTTCCGTCATTATTGTTTTGTTGTGAATATTTCAATTTTCACTGTCAAGAAGAAGAACTCAGAGTTGCACGGAACAACTTCGCCTAACTATCGTATGAGAAACTAACTGGGAAATTCGCCGTTCCGACAAAATCGTATGTACCATCCGTTCAAAGGGTGGTAGATGGTGGAGGGATCTCTCTGGGATGACGCTATGTAGTTCGGGATGCTGTTGAATGACGTATTAACAATGAGTATCACAATAGTCCAATTTGGTCTACTGTAACGAACTGATTTTTGTGTCTGCTCGCTACGAGATTCGTGCGGCAAGCTCAGAAGATTGTGTGTTCGTCCCACAAAATTTAAGTGACATGACTGCCCCGTAGATCAGTGAGAAAACACAGGGTTCAAGTGGCAACAGTGGGATTTATTCTCGTGGTATTAGTGCAGCGGTTGTGTGACTGGGCTGGCTTCGGTATCTCCTTGCTCTTGCTTCGCCGGCTGCTAGTGCCCCTCTTTCTGGCTTGTCGACGTGTTGACTCGACGTCCGCTGGATCCTGTGTCTTGGGACGCTCGTAGTGGCTGCATCTGCTCGCTTGCCGACGCGCTGCCTCAGGGTCGCTTGTCGCGCCGTTGACTCGCAGAGAATTCGGCCTTGCGAGCTTAGGGAAGCGTCACCGTTCTCAGACTAGGGTGAACAAGCTTTGCTTTCCAGGCTAACGCCTTTCGAGACAAGACCTGTCCCTTGCTCTGTCCCGGACGGTCCCGCTAGGTTCTGGCTCAGATCGCGCTGACAGTCAAGGCTAACGCCAGAAAGCTGCTCAGCAGTTCACTTTGCTTTACGCCTAGCGCAGATGAACGTTCCACCCGGCTTCACCCTAATGCTTAACGTCCGCTACGCTCCTGCGCTCCCCAATGAGCTTAGCGCGGCGATGAAGATGTCTGCTGGCGTCGCTGCCGACGTCCTCTGCGCTGTCTCCTGACCAGTAGCTCGGTGTTCTGGCACTCGGGGAGTTGGGCGGTGGCTGTTCGGGAACTTCGCCGGTAATCGCAGGGCTCTCCAGGCGAACGCCTCTTGAAACCGCAAATCGATCCACCGCTCGTCCGTCACGCAAGGTCCTGCTTGGTCGGGCAAGGTACGCTGGGTCTCAGACAACTTTCCTCCCCAAGCTAACGGTTCTTCGTCGTAGGACTCTTTTGCTTGTCTCGGACAGACCCGCCGGGCGACTCGCCAGGGTGTGGTCGTGACAAAGTTGGAAAACAAACGCCTTGACTTAGCCGTGTGATACCTTCCGGAACTCAGCCACTTGTGTCTCAATTGGGAGATTCCTGAAGTCCCAATCCCGAACGTCTCGACGTGGCTATCTTGCTCCTTATGCGCTTCCCACGGCGCTGCTTCCGACGACTCGCTTGGTCGTGGCTCCCTCGTAGATTACTTGCTTGACTGACTGTTCACTTGGTACTTTGACTGATCTTGAAGGCTTGACTCCTCGTGATTGACTGATCCAGCTGCCAGCGCACTATGGGGAATTTGACCACATTTATTGGCCAAAATCGATTTTTTAAAAGTCGTTAAAAATTGGTTTTGTTTATCACGATGCATTAGGATAACATCAAACTCAAATGTTATTAACAGTAAAGATTAACAGTCCACGTCACTGTTAAGTAATCAGCTGTGAAAGCACGTTTTAATTTTAACGAGTTGGCAGCGCAAAGAAATCGCATTGTTTTCTTAAAAGTTAAAAGTGAAAAAAAGTGTACAAATAATCAATTTAAGAGCAGTTTTTAAAATGCAGTGCATTCAGAGTGGTTTGTAATAAGTGTTTGTGAACGTGAATTGTAGAAATAGATTGTGGTGTCCCTATAATCTTGTGTAAGTTCTAACCTTAAAAAATTGTAAAACCTGTAGTTTATTTTAATCTTTGAATAGAGCTACAAAGTGAGTCCAGCTCTTTCCACCTCTAAAACTTGTTTTATGTTGTAAAGTAATCAATTCTTATTGTACCTAGTTAGTATAAAAGTGCACTTTTGCGCACTTTCTCTGAAATTTAACTTTTTAGATCCTAACCTCACCTTTGCAAACAGCGTTTTGCTTGAAAAGTGGATGTCAGAGGCGACGAAAAATGCTAAGGAGATTGCCATCTTCAATTACATGAAATCGGCAGTACGCGGACCTTGTTCTGAACACGATAAGGAAGTTTTGGCTGAGAAAAGTAAAATCATTTGCTACAAAATCTCTGATTACTGGCTAAAGGCCAAAAGAAACCTAAACCAATTCAAGCGAAGGCATTCTTCTTGGCTAAGCTCGCAAACAGAAATATCTATTAAGAAGCGTTTAGGATCTGTTGGACGGCCTGCGTTAACTTACCTATCTAAAAGACATAGATCACAGAGGAAAGAAGCCTCAGATCTAGCATCATTCAAGGCAGGCAATGTAAGGCTGCTAATTCAAGCTGCAAGTGCAGCTGCACGCAAGCGCGCCCAACCTGACCTTGCATATGTCTTGAAATTGTTAGCTTTATCGCCGGAAAAAGCCAAATTCATTCGAAAGGTTTTAAGTGAGCCTATTGCAAAGCCAACAAAGGTTTCTGCTAACGAGGCTTTAGCTCTTCTTTTAGACCAGGGCCTAACAAAGCAGCAATATGTCGCAGTCAGGGAGCAAACTAAAAACAACATATATCCGCTGTACAAGGAGGTAGCTGATCAGAAAAAAAATTGCCGGCCCTCTGAACTGCAAATTTCCGAGACAAAGGCAGAGGTACCTCTACAAAACCTTCTCGACCACACAGCAGCTCGCATTGCATCCTTGCAAGAAGAGGTATTTCTGAGCCTAATGAAAGAGCAAGGCACGGATTTTTTAGCTGCAGACTTAATTCTGAGCTACGGGTTTGATGGCAGTTCTGGGCAGTCAACCTACAAGCAAGGATACTCATCAGAGCAGCCCTTCACTGCTGACTCGAGTATTTTCGCTACTACAGTAACGCCACTGAGACTTATTGATGCCTCTACTAACATATTGTGGAACAATAAGACACCTCAGTCTATTCGCTTTTGTCGCCCATTAAAATTAGCGTTTATGAAGGAAACTAAAGACTCAATTCTTAATGAAAGCGAATATTTAAAACGCCAAATAGATAAATTACAATCGTGTAAAATTATTTTAAGTGACGGAAAATTTGTTTACATTAAGTTCCGCCTATACTTGACGGTTATCGATGGTAAAGTCCTGAACGCATTGACGGGAACTAATTCCTCTCAAGCGTGTCCGATTTGTGGGGCAACCCCTAAGGACTTCTTAAACAACAAAAATTTTAAATGTGAAAAGTTTCTCCCAATTATGAAAAATCTTCATTACGGATTAAGTCCGTTGCACTGCTGGATTCGTCTTTTCGAATTTGTGTTGCATGCAGGCTACAAATGCCAAATTCGAAAATGGAGGATTTCAAATGAGAATGACAAAAGAGAACTTGCGAGAAGGAAATCCCTGATACAGGATTTATTTTGGAAGCTGTTGTCGCTGAAGGTCGATCAACCAAAAGTTGGGGGCTTTGGCAGCACAAATGATGGCAACACAGCTCGCCGTGCCTTCAGTGAACCTGAAACATTTTCCGAAATTACTGGAATAGATCTCAGGCTCATTAAAAACCTGAGAACTATTTTAATATGTCTGTCAAGCCAGTTGCCGATAGACGTAACAAAATTTCAAAGTTTCTGCCACAAAACTGCTGAAATTATTGTGTATGAGTATTCTTGGCTACCGATGACGGCGACGGTACACAAAATCCTTGTACACTCAGCTGATATCATTCAGAACACAGTCCTTCCAGTTGGTTACTTTGGGGAAGAGGGTGCTGAGTCGCGGAACAAAATTTATAAATCCGATCGCCTGCACCATGCCAGAAAATGCTCCCGTAAATTAAATTTTACAGACGTGTTCCAAAGAGCAATGGATACGTCAGATCCCATTATCTCCAGTATAAACCTAAACAGGCGATTACAAAAAAAGCTTAACCTTCCAAGCGAGGTTATACAACTACTGTCTTGCGAATTCAAAAGTACAGGCGACTTGGAAGATGATGACGTGGAAAATAATTTTCTTGGAAGTTCATGGGATATCCAGCTCGAAAACGAGGGCCACGATCAATAGGTTTGCAAAATAAATATATATAATCAAAACAAAATTCTAAACATCTATAGTTTATTACAGATTTGTTGTGCTCTTCTGAACTCTTTGTAAATTTGTTCAGGAAAATGTTCTTCAAAATAAACAAATTGCAATTTCCAGTAGAAAAAAAACGGTAGGACCACTCACATTTTTTATCAAATGATGTTACTTTACAACTCTAGTCACAATAAAAAAATTTTGTTCTGCTCAATACTAACCAAAAAAAAAAAATTTTTTTTTAAGGCGTGACCACGCCTTTTTTTTTTTTAATATATTCCTTTTTTTATTATTAACCAAATTCTAAAAACAGAACCCAAAAATATTGCTTAGTTTTTAAGTTATTAATTAATGCCACAAAAAGTGGTCAAATTCCCCATAGTGCAGCGCTCTGCGGCCTTATTTAGGGCCCCCGCGAACCGTTATTTCCCTTTTGCGCACGGCCTGCTGGATCTCCCACCTCTGGGTCCAAAGTCCGTGACTCCTGGTTGACCCACTTGTCCTTCACGTACCGCTTCCAACAGATGCTCTGCCCACTTCTGCCGTCCCGCTGATTCCCGTGATGCTTGTGATGCTTGTGCTCTACCGGTCCAAAGTTCACGGGGGAGTCCAAAGTCCATTGAAGTTCCGCGAAGGCTCCATTCTCTCTCGATCTCTATCCTTGGTCTCCAAACTCTCCCGCTCTCCATCCTTGGTTTCCAAACTCTCTGGATCTCCATCCTTGGTCTCCAAACTCTCTCGCTCTCCATTCTTCGTCTCCAAACTCTCTCGTTCTCCATCCAAGTCTCCAAACTCTCCTCGTCACGCCGTGGACGCGCCTTCGCCGCGTATCTGGTAAGCGGCCGGCCATCTGCTGCTGCTTCTATTTGTGGGGAGTTATTCAACTCCTTACACTACTTATATTCAGTTTTAGCCATTTTCATATTTCGCTCGAATAACTTAAGCCACTCGTTCCTTTTCAGATCTTCAAAATTATGGTAATTTTTTTATTTTCTATTTCCAGAAGCTTTTCTCTGGCGCTGCTCATTCTTTTTCTCTGTTGAGAGCAGGATTGTTAATCATCAGCATCGACAGTAGCATGATCATTGGCTAAATCTAAATTAAAGGCTTGCGAAATATATGTCACTTAAAAGGTAGAGATTTAATGGCTTATTGCTTTCGACTATTAATTCTTTTGAATTGATCGCTTTTGAGTAAGATAAAATGGACTTTATCCTTTTGTAGTGCTTCGAAGTAAAAACAAAAATAATACAATAATAACAATCTGTAAAACAATAATTTTAAATCTTTTCTTGAAATATGCATTCGTTACCTACCTATATTTTTATGTAGGTTTTTTATTTTTATACCGACTTTCAACGCACTTGGGCCGTATCTCGCCGTCGGATCAACGATTTCTTGTACGAAAGGTGGTGTTCCTTCCATACATGTCCACCTCCCACAGAAACAACAGAAATTGGGTGACATCCTCTGACCAAGTCATTTTTATATTTGTTGTGAAGAGAATCATTTAATAAAAGTTGGTAAATAAATAAATCACAACACAATTACCTGCTCCGTATTCGCTTTTCAGCTGTTGTGGGCTGCTTAATAGTGCTGGAAAATGGTGGTGGAAAATACCACAAAATCGTCTTCGCAGCCCTGTTGTAGCGTGTAATGGTTGGATGAAATCGGGAATCTGCAGTTGCGGGGCACGCTATTAGGGTCTGGCACTTGCTCGTCGGCTTTGGGGGTGGAGGTCTTGCGCCTACAGATTCGCGTACTGACTACACATTATTATCAATAAGATCAGAAATAAGCGTGCTAGCGACAAGAGAGAATAGTAAACTGAAACCGGAAGAGAACGATAAATAAATTCAGGAATAAGTATTATAGGGACAGAAAAGTTTTGGAGAAAGTAAGCTATTCGAATCCACGGGTGGTATTGTGGTCGCGTATGGCCCTCCCAACCTATGATCACCATCTTAAAGCATGGCTTCGGTGAGCCCTTTGATACCCTACGATCGAGAAATCATCGGCTTAGTTCAGTTCAATGTTATTTACAGATCCATGGTTTTATTTCTGTTCGAAAAGCTAATTAATTTTCCGTGGATAGCGATACAAGTCATATTTAATATTTATAAAATAAAACATAAAGTATTTGAAAAAAATAAGGCATAGGAAGATAATGTTCATGTTATAACAATATGTATTTTACTAAATATAAATTTAAGGTTAAAGAAATAGTTTTTGATAGTACTAGCTTGCCTGTATTATTTTTCTCTCTAAAAACTTCTTCAAGGACCTTCTCTAAAATTTATCAATTCATGTTTTCAGGCAATTAGAGACTTTAGGAGTTAACAATAGGCGATCGTAATTTATACTCAACTTCTTTTGAAAATCCCAAATTAATTCATAGAGAATGCAAATAACCCAAGGTATTTTAATTAGCTCATTATTTTTAGAACGCGCGAACGATTTAAACTAAACTTGTAACCCGTTCTGAATTCATCGTACTTCCTTGAATGCTTTACAATAACAAAATGTTCATTTAAACCTAAAAAAAAAAAATTTAGCTCTTCTTAAATTAAATTAATGCTTCTCGGCGCGCATTATCTCTTTTGACCCGATCGACTTGTTAATTTCTTTTAGTTTGTTAAATATAACTATTGCTTTACATGGTGTTGCCACTTGAGGCTTTAGAAAAAAATTGCTGTTTGTTTTATGGCTTATTTCATTGATTTCATTGATTTTCTTTTCACATTAATTCTTAAATTCGGTTTCTCAAAGCGCGTTGGTTATATAACAGGGTTAGGACTGATCCAATACGAAAGAGGGTTTTTATCTCCATTAAGGTTAAACCCGGTTGGCTAGGTTAAGGCCGTTCACACACGCGGCGCTTTTACAACATAAACGGGTATAAATCCCTAAATCTGCGGCAGCGATATTCCACTCGGAGACCTCCCAGACGGCTACACGCACCCCTTAAAACTCGGCTGGTGTACGGATGCGCGGCATGATGGGCATCGGAACAGGTTATATAATTGAGTTAAATTGCCATCTGGTCCGCTCTACATAAAACTGCTTCTTGGACGGCACTACATGACCCGTAGATAGGGGTACTTCAGGGCACTAATCTCTCCATATCATTCCTCGCGGGCCAACCTGACGATTGGGCCCCGAGATTTGATTTTTGGGCCTTCTTGAGGTGGTAAATCCTCCAGTAAATTGGCCGAATCAATAAGATGCGCCTTTGGCGGAAACTTGTGGCAGCACTGGCTGGGTTTTTCACCCGGAATCCCAAAAAATACCTGTAGTGAAATTTTGTTGGAGGTTAAACACGCACCAATTTCTAAACAAATGCACTTGCACTTACTTTAAGCTTTATTCGCTGGCTAGCTTTTATAGCTGGCAGCCACACTGAGTGCTAAACACCACTTAGAATACTGGATGCCACTCAAAAATACTGGATGGCACTCAATAATATACATTTCGGTATTTTAATTGAAATTAAAATTTTGAGCTGCTGGCACGTCCGTTTCTCTTGCAGGTTAAAATAAGAAGAACTTAACCGGAATCGGCTGGATACCAGTGAACTTTTGGCGGAAATATATATCATATGACGACCGACAGGTGTCAAAACTAGAACTTTCCAAGACCACCCTGGCTCAGCTGTTCAAAACTATCGAAATATCGAATAGCCGACACAGGTGGCCACACTAGGTCAAGCTTTGGTTTAAGCGGACCCTGTATAGTAGGCTTTCAGGCTGAACCTAGGCTCGCCAGTCGCTACAGGCGCCGTTACACTGTAACGCGGAATTCGTCCTCCCTCTCTTCCTTTTTAAGTTTGAATGGGATTTTAGAAGCGTGCAACGGTAAATGGATACTAAGTCGACGCGATCATAGTGGAAACGCGCCCTAAGCCATAATGTTGTAACGAACTCATTTTGTTGGTCTGCTCGCTACGAGATTCGTCTCACCATATTTTTATGACGTGACTGCCCCGTAGATCAGTGAGAAAACACAGGGTTCGAATGATAACGGTGGGTTTTATTCTCGTGTTATTAATACAGCGGGTGTGTGGCTGGCCTCGGTATCTCCTTGCTCTGGTTCCACAGGCTGCTGATGTTCCTCGTCCTGGCCTGTCGACGCGTTGACTTGATGAACGCTGGCTTCTGTGTCTCGGGACGCTCGTAGCGGCCGCCTCTGCTCGCTTGCCGACGCGCTGCCTCGGAGTCGCTTGTCGCGCCTTGTTCTCGCAGAGGCTCGGCCTTGCGGCCTTAGAGAAGCGTCACCGTTCTCAGACAAGGGTGAATAAGCCTTGCTCTCCAGGCCAACGCCTTTTGAGGCGATACCTGTCCCTTGCTATGTCCCGGACGTTCCCGCTAGGTTCTGTCTTAGATCGCGCTGACAGTCAAGGCTAACGCCAGGAAGCTGCCTAGCCGTTCACTTTGCTTTACGCCTAGCGCAGACGAATGTTCCACCCGGCTTCACCAACGTCCGCGACGTTCCTGCGCTCCCCAATGAGCTCCGCGCGGCGATGGTGACGTGGCTGCCGGTGATGTCTGCTGGCGCCGCTGCTGATGTCCTCTGCGCTGTTTCCTGTCTTGCGTGTCCTTGGGCAACCGCCGTCCGGGACTTGCCGAACCGCTGGGCTTATCCAGGACAACGCCTCTTAAATGCCTCAACGGGTCGATCGCTCGACATTCCTGACTGGTAGCTTGGCGTTTCTGGCACTCGGGGTTGTGGGCAGTTGCTGTTCGGGAACTTCGCCGGTAATCGCAGGGCTCTCCAGGACAACGCCTCTTGAAACAACAAATCGATCCACCGCTTGTCCTTCACGCCAGGTTCTGGTTTGTCGGGTAAGGTACGCTGGGTCTTAACAACTTTCCTCCTCAAACTCACGGTTCCTCGTCGCAGGCCTCTTTCGCTTGACTCTTACAGACCCGCCGGGCGATTCGCCAGGGTGTCGTCGTGACAAATTTGGAAACCAAACGCCTTGACTTAGCCGTGTGATGCCTTGCGGACTTCAGCCACTTGTGTCTCAATTCGGAGGTTCCTGATGTCCATATCCCAAACGGCTCGACGTGATCTTGCTCCTTGTAGGCTTTCCATGGCGCTGCTTCGCCTTGTGGCTCCCTTGTAGTTTACTCGGTTGACTGACTGTTCACTATGGTATTTTGTCTGATCTTGATGGTTTGACTCCTCGTGATCGACTGATCTAGCTGCCAGCCCTCTGCGGCCTAATGGGAACCGTTATTTCTTTTTTGCGCAAGGCTCTCTGAATCTCTCCACGCCGGGTCCAAAGTCCGTGACTCCTGCTTGACCCACTTGTCCTTTACGCGCAGCTGCCAATTGAGGTTCTGCCCACTGCTGCGGACACCCGCTGGTTCCCGTGATGCTCGTGGCACGCCTGTGTGCCGCTTCACTGCCGAGATGTGGCACCTCTTCTCCCGGTCCAAAGTTCACGGCAGAGTCCAAGTCCAATGGAGTTCCGTTATCTCCTTTTGCGCACGGCACTCTTGCTCTGCCCGCCAAGTCTCCACTCTCTCATTCTCCGCTCCTTGGTCTCCAAACTCTCTCATACTCCATCCTTGGTCTCCAAACTCTCTTATTCTCCATCCTTGGTCACCAAACTCTCTTATTCTTCAGCCTTGGTCTCCAAACTCTCTTTTTCTCCCTCATGGGTCTCCAAAATCTCTTTTTCTCCCACATTGGTCTCCAAACTCTTTTCTTCTCCAGACGCTCCTCGCCGCGCCGTTACTACGCGAATTCGCCGCGTATCTGGTAGGCGGCCGGCCATATTCCCGCCTTACTTCGGTAAACATTTAAAGGCTTGTTCCTACTCTCCGGCGTTTCCTTGGATATCCTAGCCTTTGAGTCCTTGTGATGCTCCTGCCGATTCCCGTGGCGCTCCCTCGTTGCTCCCTCGACGCTTTTGACTCCATTGAGTTTCTACAGCACTGGTCATCCACTTCCAACTCCCGCGCCGATATTTCACATGTTTCTACTGGGACATCATCGGCTCGATAGCCGATCCCCAGCTCATTGCGGCGTCCCACTCCTTTTTATGGTTCCCCCGTTTGGTCACATTATCCGTCCGTGATCGATGATTCATCGACTATCGATATCGACGGTAAAGCGTTGCCACCTGCTCGATATTTCCACCTTTTGCCGATACTTCCACTTTGCATGTGCCCATCGATCGCACTATCATCCAGTGCCACTGGATCGCCTATCGAGGCGCCCCCTTCCCAGGCACATGGTGATTTTGCAACTTTCGATCTGCCCGCACAGTCTCTGGCTTATTTGTCTTTTCCATTTTATTCTCTCAACTCCCTCCAGCTTATGCCGTTCGTTGTCCTTAACCCCAAGTACAATGGCCCCAGCGTTTTGCAGCAGGGCTTTTCTGCCCGTGGTGAGTTTCACTTTTGGTTGAACCGGCATTTAATTCTCTTCGATCGATGCTTGTCGGTTATGCGCCTCTTGTGCCGTCGCACGCACTTCATGTCTAAAAATACCAAAGAGCAAGGCTCGCAGCGGACAAGATCTCCGGAGTGACCACGCTCATGCCTCTTGAGAATATTTTAAGATCGGAATTCTTTGCTGCTGTAGGAACATTTTATCGAATTCATCACACGGTTAGGGGTAAGCATAAGCCGTCTGAGGCTAGAATTACTACCACTATTGCCATGAAACCAATTCTTTTTGCCGTCAGCTTCTTCGCTGGTGTTACTTGAAAGACCATGGTTTTTCTGGCCCTCGTTTTTTTTATTCCTCAGTTAACTGTTGGTGTGATGCGTGTTTCTGTCCTTTGTGACCAGCTGGGTAACAACTAGACGAGCTCGCCCGGCGCATTCCGTATAGAATCTCCGGATGCTACGGTGTGTGTCTGGACTGCGCGACTTGTGTTGCTTACTCCCTTCTACGTGGTGTAATCGGTTGACTATGGCTCACGCCCGACGCTGAAACCTGTTGCCTTGCGGTCGGGATCTTCAACCATCTTTATCCACGTCCTTGTGACCTATTCTTATGATTGTTCTTTCTGCGTTAATGTGAAATCCTTATCCACGTCCTTGTGACCTCTTGTTAGTCATCTGAGGTATCTGCCGACTTCTCGTTTTGTTGTTGCTTGAGCTCGCCAACGTGAACAATCCGTTCTTTCTTTGAATGTGTGTGGCGTATTTTGCAGATCACCGGAGAGATGAAATCTACAACCTGGTAAGGGCCTTCGTACCTCGGGGCTAGTTTCGCAGCGAATTCTTCAGTCGCTTTGGACAGGTGATGTTCCTTGGCACATACTACGTCGCCCACCGCTTGTGTCCATTGCCTCCTTCTCAGATTATACTGTCTGGCTTGGTCCTGGGATGCCTTTTCCATATTTCGCCGTACGATCTCAAATACCGCTTTCAGCTTGCTGGCGTTTTCCTCCGGGGTCTCCGTAGCTCGTCCAGTGCCTATGGTTTCCTTATCATATAGGCTGCTGGGTAGACGCGGTACTCTGCCCTGGGTAAGAAGCGCCGGTGTATGGCCGGTGGTTTCTGATGTGCTCGTGTTTACTGCTAGCATAATCTCCGGCCACTTCTCGTCCCAGTTTCTCTGGTCCTTACCTGCGAATTGCGCAATCATGGTCTTGACTGTTCTGTTTCCTCGTTCGGATGGGTTCTCTTGGGGTGTGTATGGTGCGGTGAATTGTTGTCTGCCCATCTCAGCCAGCAAAACTTTTGAGAAACTTTTGGCTTGCAAACTGTACTCCGTTGTCCGTTATGACCACCTTCGGGACCCCGTACCTTGCGATT